TGTGATTCATCATTAGACGAGTTTTAAGCCAAGACTGCTAGCCCCAAATTCCTACCAAGTATTTGGCTGTAAATGAGTTAAATGGATCATTTCTGAGATTTAACGTCATCACTCATCACTATCCCAAATTATTGCTTTCTACACACCATTTTTAAAAACAATTTTGATTTTAAGATAAACCTCCCATTTTCTACGATATCTGTTTATTTAGCTGCATAAAAAAATTACAGATAATTTCTATGTAAACGTCCCATGCACATATATATATATATATATATATATATATATATCAGCCAAATTAAGTAAGCCTTAGATTTTTACAATTTATTCTTTGGTCTTCCGAACTTTCTACTTTTTAATAATATTTGACAAAAATGAGTGAGGTTTGACATTTCTTAAACGAAATTTGAGAAGAAAAAAATATTATGACAATATTCCCATTAAAATTATGGCCAAAACTGTTGCGTTTGGCTCAAGATTCATATCACAATTAAAATTATGGCTTTATAGGAAGTAACTTTAAGGCAAAAGTTGCTCGTCATCTCTTTTTTAATCCATTAGTTTACATTCTTTATCATTGCTGCTGCATTACAACTTTTGGTTGATTTTCCAATTCCAGAATTTCGGGACATTTGCGCATTTTCGTTCATTGACAAGTATTTCTTTAAAAGCTAATTATGCATTAAATATCATTAATTTCCCAATGATTAAATTTGCTACAAAGCGAAATTTGAATTTTAGTACCGCAAAGAAAGGCAGGAAAAGTTCATTGGACCTTTTACGGTTGGAAGATCAGAAGAGTTCCATCCTATTCGAAGATGCATCCCCATTTCAGTATTTTCATCCAACAACTGATATCAGTATGGGTAGTTCAAATGTCGCAATTTCTACTTTGCTTGTACATTCCACTGTTCATGGTTGGTACTTCCCGCTTTCTTTTTTCTTTTAAGATATTGTTCATTTAATTTTTCAACTTTGTCAACCGATGAACTAATATCAGATCAGATGCCAAACTGAAGAAGAGGGAAGAGAACTATTATACTTGAAAAGTTCCGGGAAATGTGTGTGTGTGTGTGTGGCATGCGTGTGAATGGATATATTGATTCCTTGGCTTACAACAATAAATGTCAACACCGCAGAGAGGAAAAAAGGATCAGGAAACCTGTTTGGAACAATAAAAATTGATTCTTCACTCTGAAAATCATCTGTAGAGCAAAGATTAATGATCAGCGCAGTCATCGACGATAGGTGACAGGTCGGCAGGGGGAATTGCCACAATCTTTTCTCATATCTAATTCAATAACGTCAGGAATAGGGCAGGTGAGCTCAGAAGAAGACAAGTTGCCAACCTCGCTGACTTTTCTGCCTTTTAGAATAATCCTTCTTCATTTTCTCCCTCTCTCACTACCATCTAATTGCCGTCCTGTTTTATTTACATAATTCACCACCGGAAAGTGCTTTGGAAAGCTAAACTGATTAGAACCGTAACTTTCGAATATTTAAAAGTAATTCTAGATTGTATTCATATCAAAAACTAATAACTTGTGTGGTGTCAAAAATTAGTTAAAAATCCAATAAAAATGACGTTTTATAACAATAGTTGTAATCAGAGGATATGATTGAGAAGGGGAGATGATAGTCAGGGAAGGGAAGACTGTAAACTGATTCAACATTTGTAATATCTTGATTTGGACTATTTGATGTCAGTGAACTTATTCATTACATTCTTCATTATCAAGAATTTCCAATTTTATTTTGATTATTTCGTAAAGCTGATTCCGTTCGACTCAAACGATCCTCTCTTCAGTTATTCTGCTCTATTTGCCGGATCAAAATTCAAGAGGAAAGGAAGCATTTTTCGACTGTTATTCTTCCTTTCTAACTTACAGTAACAAAAATCATTCCTTAAATCTGAACAAGTTCTCTGGCTTTAATTCAACTGAACATACTCATTTTGCAGGTTATGAAACAATGGTCGTGAAATCGAAGTTAGCTCGGATGATGTCTCATGAAGATTTTGCAAGGTGTGAAGTGAAAGTAAGCCAGAGTGCACCACCAACACCACTTCCAACACGTCTTGTCAATGATAGTGTCGTCGGTGGTGGTAAGTTACATTTGATTACGTCTTTCCATTTACTACATTTGTTCGGAGCGTTATTCTAAAAAGGCACATATGACATTTGAAGTTTCCCATCTATATCATTTTTGCTTGCATTATCATCCGTTCTGCTGGACAATTCAAACATTTTGTAATGATTGGTTTGGAGTACTGGATAGCAATGGTTGAAAGACTTTTTAGTTTTTATGGATTAACAATTCTATCAAGAAAACGATAGTTGTCGGGCATCTTGTCTTTCATGGTCTGGCAATGTTGGCAATCATTATATTCCAAAAAGCTTATAAGTAATAAGCATAGTACTCATTGGCTCCATAAAAAAATTTTCCCGCCGTCATTGAGCATTATTTATCGTCCATTATTACTTTCCTGTATTTAAAAGTAAAACGAAATTTTCAGGAATAGCAGTTAGCGACACAATGACATCAACATCTAGTATAGCGCCAACTGAAGTTAGCAGCAGTTTACAGAATTTAGCATCCAATAATGTATCCACCACCGATAGCTTGTATAAAGGATTGTTCTCTTGTTTCAAACCGATGTGGAGCTATTTCGGTCGATCTGCCGAATCATTGCAAGCATTCCACAATTACTTACTGACTGTTTTCATTTGCCTGATTGGTTGTTATTGTAGTCTGATTTTCATTATTTTATTTTTATGTTTTAGTAAAATGTTGACATGAATCATTTATTGCTTACTTTAGATCAAGTGGAATGACCAAATCAACCATAGCTTATTCGGATGACAATTGGGAAATACCGTTTGAAACAATTACTCATTTGGAGTGGCTTGGCTCAGGATCTCAGGGGGCTGTATTTAGTGGTCAACTGAATGACCGTTTAGTTGCGGTGAAAAAAGTGAAAGATAAATCGGAAACGGAAATCAAGCATTTGCAACATCTCAATCATGAAAATCTCATCAAATTCATGTAATTTTCATTCATTTCAATTTAATTTTCCTTTTTTGACAAATAAATCAAACTGTCAACAGTGGCGAACTGGTCATAATGGTTATTAGCTTACTACTTCTTTTCGAGAATTCCCGAAACTCTCGACACTTCTTGTTTTTTGAAATTTGGATCAACACACAAGCAGTAGATCTTTCATCATCAAAAGACTTGATGGTTTAAAGTGGGAAGTTCAGTGTATGTGCGATTTTATCACTTGAAGATCAGATAAAAATGCCGCATCATTTTAGTTTTTCTAATAGTGAAATGAATGCTTGAAATGATACTGTTAAATGATAGGAGGCATGAAACAGTAATAAATTTCAGATAGGAATTAATCATTATTTTATTTTTAGAGGCGTTTGTACTCAGTCGCCCTGTTTCTGCATAGTGATGGAATACTGTGCTCAGGGACAACTTTATGAAGTAATTAGAAGTGGTCATCATATTGTAAAAGATACGTTTGGCGAATGGGCTCGTCAAATTGCTGATGGAATGAATTATTTGCATCAGAAACACATTATACATCGTGATCTCAAGTCACCTAAGTAAGTAATGAGTACATATACGACTAATTAGATTGTTGAAGTTGAGTTTTTAGGTTTGTTATGGCTATGAGTAATTTTAATAGATTAGTTTGTTGATCGTAAACAGTAAACAACAGTTGACATATTCTTTCATATAACTAAAAAATTATTCCCTTTTTACTTTCAATTAATGCATTAATGCTGAAAATCGGATAATTTTTTCCACTTTTCAGCATTTTGGTTGATAACAGTGACATATTAAAAATTTGTGATTTTGGTACCTCACATCAGTGGGATAAGGGAAAAAGTACTGTAATGTCATTTTGTGGCACTGCTGCTTGGATGGCGCCTGAAATCATCAAGAAAGAACCATGCTCTGAAAAAGTATTGCATTTCCGAAGAGTTGAATTTGATTTTCAAATGTAAATTTATTTTAAATCTTACTAAATTTAGTAGCGGTAGTTTGGTATTGTTTACTAATGGTCCATGGCGACCATTTGCACCTATCATTTCATTTGCGCCTTAAACTTAAGCTTGCAAAACAGGTCGATATTTGGAGCTTTGGAGTTGTATTGTGGGAGCTGCTGACACAGGAAATCCCTTACAAAGATGTTGATTCTATGGCGATCATTTGGGGTGTTGGCTCAAAGTAAGTCTTCGAGCAGTTTTCAGACACTTGTACTTCAGGTTTAATATTTCAGTTGCATAAATTGAAACTTTATTTCAGTAATTTGAGCTTACCAATACCAGATACCGCACCCGAAGGGTTGAAATTGTTGCTGAAGCAATGCTGGAGCATCAAACCACAGAATCGTCCTTCTTTCTCACAAATTTTGAAGCATATCGCGGTTTTCAAGGTAACGTTTGAGCTGCCCAACGGGGAATGTAAAGCAAAAAAGGGTCAAAATGCCAAGGATAAGGAGAAGAGGTTAAGGAAGAAGTGCTTTGTAATTGGAGCATTGACAAATGAATAGGTAGAATAAGAAAAAAGAAATTTAAAATAAGCTCTGGAAACTTCAAAAACTATAAAGAATTGCCGAAACCACTGTATTTGAACCTAATAATTTACAATCCAACCTTAAGCTCTTTCTCAAAGTTATTTCAAATTCTAACAGAACTTTCATTTCAGTCTGAAATTGCAAACATTTGTGATGATGTATGGCAGAAAAAAAAGCAGGCTGGAAAGCATATGTTATCCAGTACATGAAAGGACTCCGACAAGAGAAACCAATGGCGCAGAAGAAAGATGCGCTCAACGGTGAAATGCTTCTTTTTTTTTTTTATAAAGCAAATATAATGATGCTTAGATATCATTTTCTGATTACTGCACTTGTTTGAACTAAATCTTAGACAAAACTTAGAATTTTATGAATTCCAGTTTTATCCATTTCGTTCTTTATAACTCTATTCGTGATATTATTTTTTGATTTTCAGAGCGTGAATTGCTTCGAATGAGGCGTGAGGAATTAAAACATGCGCAAGATATTCGGGAAATGTATGAGGATAAGCTGAGACGAGCAACTAAAATTTATTCGAAGTTGGAGCAATGTTTGGACGATCTGGCAGTGCGTGAACGGGTTTGTTGCACTTCCTCTTCTTCAGACTCTCCCGGTTTTATCAGGTCTTCATTATTATTACTACTCTTTTTAGGAAATTTGCGAGCGCGAACGACAAGTTAGGGAACGTGAAAAGTATGCTTATAATATGTGTGTCAAAACCAGTATTTTTCATTAAAAGATACGCCAAAAAATCTAAAAAATACGGTTACGCATATGCAACCTGAATCGAATGATATTACAGGCGTGACGAAACAAAGGTATGACGTTAATTTCTCAATTGTGCTTTCGTAATTACTCTAACCTATGAGACATGCCGGAGTAGTCATTTAACCGAAATTGATTGATAAGTATAACATTTCTCGATCCAGCCTTAATGTTCGCGATTCAAACCACGGCTTATCCTATGAGGAACAAGAAGAAATGTCTTCATCGGGAAATGAATACCACTCTGAATACGTGTACCGGAACTCATCAGCAAGATGCTCTGCTAGTAGCATAACGTAAGTTGCTATCCTTTGTCATTACTGATACCTTATTTGACTGATGTTCCAAAATGCGCATTACTATCATACTTAAAGTGCCAATATTGTAGACATATCGGTAATTAATGAAGTCGGAACAAATAAGTGAGTTCCTGTAAGCTCCGTAACATTAACATCTCGCAAACGTGATAGCCTTTTCGTGGGGAAATACTTAGAGAAACAATTTCCCCCAAATATTTGTTTAAATTGATAATTCAGGACAAGTGGAGCTTTCCCATCATCTCAATCGCTGACTTTCAGTCGACAAAATTCCGGTCGCAGTTCATCAGGCTACAATCGAAAGTCAAATAAAACTTCACCTAGGCGAATGCCAACTTCAAGTTCAGGTACAATCAAAAAATTTGAAATACACGCCTTATTTTGGTTTCAAATTAGGTTTCCTTCCCAACGAAATACAAAATTTTGGATTACTAATAATCACTATGCGGCAATGACAACTACTGAGTGCAACTGAGACATGAATAAGCCATAGGAAGTTTCATGAATATTGGTGTAAGATAAGATACTGTAGATACTGTAGTGAGCGAGACGAGTTGCAGAACGTAACTTCTCTCGGGATTCATCGATCCGATTGTCCAATTATTTTTGCAACAATCAAGCTGATCTTGTTCGTGGATCTCCTGCTCGAAATTCCGGTGTTTCCGAAACTTCTTGTGATTCCGGTTTCCACAATTTGTATGACATTGATCTTCCATTTGGAACTTCAACAAACGCACTGGTACATGAATGCAGTTTTTGCGGACAACCGGTGAATAACTTCTTGTATCTAGAAATGACTAATTAATAAGAGTTTAAGGTATTCAAAATAAAAAAAATCAAAAATTCAAAAACAGATTTAAAAACTTCATAACCTGTGATAGCAAAACGTAACAATGTTTTTTAGTTCTACGCATCTTTTGGCGTTTCCCCTCAGTAAGGATCAAGCTGATTTCAGCAACGATTTTGCTCCAAGCATTTTCTTTCAGATTATCACAACGAATTTTTATCGAAATACGGAAGGACGTTGGTCTGATGGACGTTTAGCATCACATAGAAGGAAGAATAGGAAGAGTACAGCAAGCTCCAACCGAGATTCACTGCAACGGATGACCCACGGTAAATTAGTCATTAGCGAAGTGGGAAAGCTTGAAAAGACTATGGCTGATTTTTACATGCTACAGAAGAAGTGCTTTTTGGTTCTATTGCGAAGTTTTTTTTCCTGAAAAATTTTAATTCTCCCCTGGTAGTTCGAAGTAATTTTTATATGAAAAAGGTAAAGTTAATTTCTAAATTTGAACAATTCTATCAACTGATCCTTTCTCGTCCTAACCTTTGAAAATTTCTTCCATCATTTCCAGTACCTACGAAAGAGAAACGTTCATCATATACGCGACCAAGTCAATCATTGGCAGAATCTACGCTGTCCAATGGTAGAGCAACAAGAAAGACTTCATTATGCGAAATAACCGATAACACATCCTCCAATTTGCAAAACAAAATTGTCAGGTTTGCGAATGTATCTTGTGGAAAACACAAGCTGTATTTCCTCAGAAAGCATTTCAAACGAAAAATTTTTCAAAATAAACTTTAATCTGAATACTTTCATCTCTGAATACGTGAACTTTGCTACAGAGAACACGATGTAAACCATTCAAAGAAAAAGATTTCTTAATAATTTTTGTTCGGGATGAAAACTGGAAATAGGAAAAAATGACTGTATAGATATAGCCACAGATATAACAGATTTCTCTCAATTCCAATTCATGTTTTTCATATTATGCCTTTTTCTAGCTGCTCGACCATTAAAAAATCACGAGAAGCGGAAGCACTAGTGGACGAAGAATCCAATGTGACCGTACGTTTAACTGTCATTTGCTGTTATGATAAGTCTGTGGTAAAGTACGTTTATCCAATACTTATCTTCAGATTCCACCATCAACTAGTTGTTACCAGGGAATATTAAAAGAGAAAGAAGATACATGGATGCCACAAAGTAAACAGGCGGTTGCATGTGATAACGAAAAGACAAGTGGAAGAGATGATAAGCTGACAAAAGAAGTTTCTGATGCTTCGGCAGAAGAAAGTTCTGAACAGCAGGATGAAAATAACGGGTAACTATTAGGCAGTGGAAATTTTAAATTAAAATATAATTCATAGAATGAGCTAAAACGAATACTAGTCATTTTTAGGAATATTTTGGATTCATCGCTCGATTCTCCAAGTGCTTCTTATATCGTTTTCCGGAGATTTAGAAATCCACAGAGCACAAATGATAGTGAAAGGTTAACTAACTGCTTTAAAAAAATCAAGTTGACTTGAGTGAATTGGCTTGTTAATGGCATTCTGATTCTCTTTCATGAAGTGTCTGCCTTACAACATTCTGATTCTCTTTCATGAAGTGTCTGCCTTACAACATGCAGGTTGAATAGTTTCATACATGACTTCATCAGCACTACAAACAAGAAAATTCACTAAAATGAGCAGCTGAAAAATCCTGAGAATCTATGTCCAGAATAAGGGAAATATTTTGTTTACTTGATGCAAATTATTGATTTTTTCAGCAAAATAAGGATTACGGTAGCAAAGAAATGTGAAAAATATTTGAAATTTTAAAATTAAAATTTAAGTTAAATTTTTCAGC